TTATGCAGGTCGAACAACATATAGAGCTGGTCATGTCTTTTGAAAGTCTTAATATCGACGTTTGTTGTCTATCCGAGACCCGTATTCAAGACTCTGGTGAAGTACTACAAATTCGCTCTCCATCTGTCGCTTCAAAAAGCTTGTTTTATGTGCGTTCATCCGGGGGCCCTGTGGCATCTTAGCCTGGTCTTGCTGGCGTTGGTGTCGCACTAAGCGCTAGAGCTGAGGCAGCACTAGTCGATTGGATCTCCGTTAACAGTCGGTTATGTGCTGTTAGATTAGAAAGTTCCATCAAAGTGAGAGGAAATCGGCGTGAGAAACGATGTTTTTTCGTCATCTCCGCCTATGCCCCGACAGATGGCAGCCCGGATGCAATCAAGGATGAGTTTTACCACCAGTTATCTGTTCTTCTCCAGAAAGTGCGTTCGACAGATAATGTAGTACTAGCCGGAGACTTGAATGCTCAGGTCGGGCGTCGCTTCGATTTACAGTCAAACAATTCACATTATTATTATTATTATTATCATTATTATTTACTACGTCATTTATTCACTCTCTTTTATTCCCGCTTTATGTATCCTTATTTTTCGACGTATACAGCAGCTCACTTATGGTGGAAACTCGGTCCTATCTAAACGTTCCCGAGTTACTGCCTGGTTGAAAATTGTATGCTACCACCAAATACGAATACTGAAACGGTCTTTCTGAAACCACGTGCACCATTAAAACTGGCTGCGTTCAACGTTCGCACACTTATGCAGGTCGAACAACATATAGAGCTGGTCATGTCTTTTGAAAGTCTTAATATCGACGTTTGTTGTCTATCCGAGACCCGTATTCAAGACTCTGGTGAAGTACTACAAATTCGCTCTCCATCTGTCGCTTCAAAAAGCTTGTTTTACGTGCGTTCATCCGGGGGCCCTGTGGCATCTTGGTCTGCCCCACAGATTGCACCGCGGATGCAATCAAGAATGAATTCTACCACCAGTTGTTAATTATTCTCCAGAAAGTGCGTTCGACAGATATTGTAGTACTAGCCGGAGACTTGAATGCTCAGGTCGGGCGTCTAGGCACAGAAGAGAGTCGTTTAGGTGGCCGATGGGGACTCGTTGGTCGCAGGTCAGATAACGGGGACCGTCTACTGCAACTTTGCACAGACCACAACCTGTTTCTGGCTAGCACTAACTTTCGGCACAGTCATCGCCGATGTGCCACCTGGCGTCCTCCCTCTGCATCTCAAGCCTGGACTCAGATTGATCACATCGCGATCAGCTACCGCTGGCGTGGTTGTGTACAAGACTGCCTCTCCTTATAGAGTACCTATCTGGACTCTGATCATGCTCTGGTCTGCGCCAATCTTACCTTACTTTTCAGTGGACAACGAAGTGACCGCCACCAACGGATTGATGTCAGCAAGCTGGTCGCAACTTCTGTTGCAAGTAAGTATCGAACCGAGCTAGCCTCTAGGCTAGCTACCACTCCACCGAAAAGTATAGATGAGCATTGGTTGCAATTGCATGACGTCATGAAAATGGCGGGTGCAGTCAGTTGTGGGTTCGCGAAACGTCCCGCTTATAAGCACTGGGTTTCTTCTGGTTCCTTACAACTCATCGAAGCCCATCGGTCTACTCCGGGTGACCGTGAGTTTGACCACAAACGAAGGCTTTCACGTAAAGAAATCGGGCAAAGCTTGCGTAAGAACCGAAAAACCTGGTGGTCGGAGCGTGCTAATGAGCTGGAAGCAGCAGCTGCATCTGGTAACTTCCGGAAGCTCTTTCAACTCGTCCGAGCCACTGTCAGCAAGGAGTCTGGTGTGAGCAAAACAATCTGTGAGGATGACGGGATGCAAATCACTGACATCCAACGACGTCTTGGACGATGAGCAGAATCCTTCGAAGTGCAGTTCAACTGGTCTGCTGCTCGCGCAACATCGGTCAGACTGTTCTGCCCTCCGTGGCCGGTGACGACTGATCCACCAGATAAGGCGGAAGTCCACAAGAAACTCCATTTTTTGAAGCGCTACAAATCACCGGGTCCAGATGACTTACCTCCGGCCATTTTTAAAGATGGTGGTGACTTTCTGGCTAAGGAACTGATTGTGTTGTTTACAAAGGTCTGGGAGCTAGAGAGTGTTCCAACGTCATGGAATGAGTCGATAGTTGTCCCTATCTTTAGAAAGGGTTCACGTCGTTCCTTTAACAACTATCGGGGTATAAGTGTACTTCCGATTGCGTCCAAACTATTGGTTTCTGTCATGCTTCGTAGGTTGTTCAAAACCCGAGAAAGATTGACACGCGAGGAGCAGGTTGGTTTTCGTTCTTGTCGAGGATGTATTGATCATATCTTCACCCTCCGCCAAATGTTAGAACACCGCCATACTTTTCAAAGGCCAACAATCGTAGTGTTTCTTAAAATCAGGGCTGCCTTCGATTCGTTGGACAGGACTGTTTTCTGGGATTGTCTATTGAAGAGGGGTGTGCCTGAGAGATTTTTCGACATCTTAAAGGCATTGTATATAAACATCTCAGGTAGAGTGAGGGCATACAACCATCTTTCTCAATTGTTCCATTCAAGCAGTGGGCTTAGACGGGGTTGCCCGACCCCACCATTCCACTTCAACGTTGCTACCGATGACGTTCTAGAAACAACTCTGATGGATGTAGGTAGTGGCGGCGTGAATCTGTTGCCTGGAGAAAGACTTCCCGACCTTGAGTATGCGGATGATATTGTCTTACTGTGCGATAATGCCCAAGCCATGCAATCCGCACTTAACCAGTTGGCAATCAGTTTCCGTAGGTACGGTATGTGCTTTGCACCTTCGAAGTGCAAAGTACTTCTACAAGACTGACAGGATTCTAATCCTGTACTCACCCTGGATGGTGAGCAGATAGAAGTAGTTGAGAAGTTCGTGTATCTAGGTAGCTGCATAAGTGCTGGTGGTGGCCTGACTGATGAGATCAATGCACTTATAGTGAAAGCCAGAGCAGCTTATGCCAATCTGGGCCATCTTTGGCGCTTTCGTGATGTCAGTCTGACTGTTAAAGGTCGAATCTACAACGCGTCGGTGAGAGCAGTTCTGCTTTATGCTTGTGAAACCTGGCCTCTCCAAGTTGAGGTTGTTAGACAACTCTCTGTGTTCGATCATCGTTGTTTCCGAAGGATTGCTGACATCCAGTAGCAACACCATGTCAGTAATGCAGAGGTTCGGTATCGTGTGTTCGGGCACAGAGACGATAATGCAATTTGTGTCACCATCTTGAAACACCGACTTCGGTGGCTTGGACATGTTCTCCGAATGTCGTCCCAGAGAATTCCATGTCGTGCATTATTTGCCGACTCTGGGACTGGTTGGAAGAAGCGGAGAGGTGGTCAGTGCATGACATGGTGTCGTGGTATGAAAGATAGCTGCAAAGAGCTGGCTTGTGTTGGTCCTTCACGACTCCCTGGTTGGGGTCTGAGAGATGGTGCTACACAGTGGCTAGAGACGTTATCAGATATGGCTCAGAATAGAAGCCAATGGCGATCCTGCTGTAACCTTCTTTTACTTTCTTCATGAAAATGCGGTTATATCTTCCTTAACTGAAAGATTTCTTCTGGTTGTACCTTTTCGTCTCCTCCATTATTATTATGATTATTACACTACCTTACAATAGTCTGGTCGTTATTGTTCTTTGTTTTTACGCTCCTTACCTCCCTTTTTTTCTCTTCCCATTCTCATTGTTTTTCGTGGCGCATATATATTTGGTGCCCTCTTGTACCAATGTTTAGCTGTTCAAATAAAATAAAATAAGTACTCTAGACTGCTCGCACCGGGTTTTACGTGTCATTGGTCCGATCGATAATTCACTACTCTCCAATTGGCGATATCATTACGTTATACATTAACAGGGCACACAGGCTACAAGTTATAACAATAAGTTTATAATTTTTTCTGTTCGGGTTAAATTTTGCTCGCATTGTTCAGAAGACTGTATTTATAGATATTATAAATGGCTGGTTTGTCATCAATTGACTTCGATTTGATTACAAAATCCTCAAAGAGAAACGTCTGTGGAACGTGAGATATTTCATGCTATTAGTTCCCTTTATGAATTTAAATAGAGCCAGAACAAATATAGATGCAGAGTAATATGAATTCATTATATTTCGTGGTTATCAATAATGACTATATATATATATATATATATATATATATATATATATATATATATATATATATATAAATTTCCAGCTCTTACCACTCAAAACCATTTGTACCTTTTGGTCTGAATATAATTTACTACTTGGCTTATCCTTATTTGTAACCTAAAGTCATCTATAAATGTCGTTCTATTCGAAAGTTTATTCTTTCCCACAGTTTCCAGTTATGCCCATTCTTTGCGATGTTATAGTTGCAGTCAGTTGATTATATACATAGACCAGGAGGTATCCTTGTATATCCTAATTATTCGTTTTTATCAACTATGCACATCGTAGACATTGATGTGTTCTTTACATCTATTTCTAAACAGATAACTCATACTAATTTTGTGGCACTAAAGTAATATTATTGTTCAGGTGGCCAGTTTACTTGTTGCTGATAAAAAATGCATTCGTTGTGTTAGCTGGACATAGACCGGATTAAGGCATGTTCCTTGCATGACTGTTTTGCTGCACGCTGATTGGCTCTTTCTTATCCAATCAACACTAGCAGATACTTGGAAAAGACTTGAATCTTCCCATGTAGAAACTAAATGTATTAACTTTTTTTTATTACTTCCTACTTCCATATACCCTTGTTATTTGGAATATAATTTTGTTCCTGTTCAACCGTGTTCTGATCTGGGGACTTGTCGAGTGAATTGGTTTTCAAAAATCCTGAGCAATAAGAGAAATTATAACAACGTGACTGTAATGAATTTTGTACAAATACTTGGTAGATTTGGAGAATATCAACGGTACTGCTTTTTATCTGTACACAAAGATGTTCAATCTCTTTTTACCTTTTATTCACATTTCAGTTGTCATGTGAAAACCACTTAATATTCAGTGCCTCTGTTCCGTCCAATTATACGCAGGGTTCTAGTGTCAAACTTCCGTGGCTAACAGTGATGTCGAGGCGGCTTGGGAAAATGTTGATAATACATCTGACGCCAATGGAAATATTATAAATACAAATGCACTTTTGCACAAATCAGATTTGAAAACTCCTTTGGCTGTCTGTGGCAAAGACTCTGTTACTGATTCAGATGGAAAAAAGAAACGGGCTTGTAAAAACTGTACATGTGGCTTAGCTGAAATTGAAGCAGCGGAAGAAGTTAAATCTGACGTCCCAATATCGTCCTGTGGAAATGTAAGTCATGATTATCTGTTTTGCTTCCGAGAACACCATAGTAAACAAGTAGTTTGTGGTGATAGTGTTATAGAAAAACATAATGTTAGACATTTTTTAAGTTAAAAACAACACGATACATATTGCCTTACTGAAGTATAGGCTGGGAATACTGCAAACACAAATTGTTCTCGAACTTACCAAAACTTCGTCTTTGACCAATCTTAACTGGATAATGTATTAACCCGTTACTTTCGGAAATGTTCCAGTTACACAAACCAGTTTGAGATCAATTTCTCTGTTGTTTTTAAGCTTGGTACTCAGTCGCATGTCCGAAGTATGAAGCACATGGGCTTCAGGTTGCTACTAATTAGCATATTCCAGCTTTTGTAGCAAGAAGTACACCATAACTCGCGTTCTTTCTTATGCGGTCGGAAAGCAATGACAACAGATATTCATAGCCTCATCGTAGAATTTCTTGCTTGCACCTATAATTTCAGTCAGTCAGCTACAACGTAGGACCAGGCACATATGTGCATCGGTCCAGGTTGCCATACCGCATCAGCACAACAAGATGAACACCGGATTCATAGCAGTGGTTATGTCAAAGGTGGTAATATATAAGAGAAAGATTGCATATAGAGATATAGTACAAGAAGAAAGAATTGGTTCGTAGAAAGAAAGATATGAAGTGATTTTAATCTCTTAGTTTAAGGGAAGACAGGGAGTGTATACACCGACGCCATTGTGATCGATTCTGAGCCATGTCACCAAGAGTCTCCAACCATTGGTTACGAAGTCACGCGGACCCCAACCAAGTAGTCTGCATCTACCAACATGGCTCAGACTAGAAGTTAGTGACTTCAAGCACTGATGCCACGTTTTGGTTTGGCCGCCCCTAACTTTCTTCCAACCATCTCCAATACCGGATAGCATTGCACGTCGTGGTAATCGGTGTTCAGGCATACGTAACACGTGGCCCAACCATCTCAGTCGATGAAGATTCATAACCTCATCAACTGATTTACCATCATTCCCTAATACCCTGCGTCTAACCTCACTATTACTTACCCGGTGATCCCAGCAGACGCCAGCAATATTTCTAAGGCATCTGTGGTCAAATACTAGTAGCTTACGGGTGTCTTCTACTCTTAAGGCCATGTTTCGCTGCCGTAAATTAAAACAGAACGGACTGCCGCGCAGTATACTCGTCCTTTTATTGATAGACGGATATCTCGCCTTCGCCAAGGTGACGTAAGTTGGCAAAAGCCAAACGAGCTTTTCGAATCCGTGCTGAGATTTCGTCAGACACCAACCCATTAGGGCTGATCAGACTTCCAAGATAAGTGAAGTTGTCAACGCGTTCGACTACTTCACTCCCTATCCTTAGTTCAGGTGTTGACGCAGACCAGTCCTGAAGCAACAACTTGCATTTAGAGGGAGAGAAGCGCATCCCAAACATTCTGGCATTGTTGCTTAGTGCTACCAGAAGACTCTGCATTTTGTCAGCGTCTTCACCAAACAGGACTATGTCATCTGCGTATTCTAAGTCGATAAGTGGACCTCCTGGATGGAGATCAATACCCGAGAATTCAGTCGACGAGAATGTTATTTCCATCAATAGGTCTATGATGAAGTTAAACAAAAATGGAAAGTGGACAGCCTTGACGGACACCACTTGAGGTTGCAAAAGTAGATGACAGTTCGCCATAAGCTCTGACTCGACTAGTAGTGTTCGAGTAAAGAGCCTTCACAAGGTTTATGTACTTCTGAGGTACGCCTTTCAATGACAGACACTGCCACAGAATCTCGCGGTCTACAGAGTCAAATGCTGCTTTTAAGTCAAGAAAAACCACCATTGTCGGACGCCGATAAGTATGCCTGTGTTCTAGAATCTGACGAATGGTGAATATGTGGTCGATGCAGCCACGACCAGGTCTGAAGCCAGCTTGATTTTCTCGTGTTTGCAGTTCACGAGTCTTAGTTAGGCGTTGATAATTATCGAGGCTAGTATTTTAGATATTATATTAGTTAAACTAATCCCTCTGTGGTTGTCACAGGATGATTTTGACCCTTTCTTATATATTGGGACGATAAGTGATTGTGACCAGTCAGATGGGATAACGTCTAATTCCCAGATCTTAGCTAAAATATTAGTCAACCTAATCGCTAAAATTGGACCACCATCCTTAAAGACCTCTGGAACCAATCCGTCTGCCCTTCCTCGTTTCAGATTAACTATAGCCTTTTGAACTTCAGCAAGAGTTGGGGGACCTACTTCAATGTTCCATTTACACTGTCTGGGAATGGAGGGCAGTTGTAAAGTAGCTGAAGGCCAGCTGAACTGGTCTCCGATGAGTGTCATTTTTTTCCGAAATAGTCTGACTTACACTTGACTTATTAATTCCAGTTTCTTTTATTAGTCTGTAAAGCTGTCTTGTGTCCCCTATAGCCGCAGCCTAGTTTTCAGAACTAAGTGTGACCTCAGTTGTTCCTGGAACGTACTTTTGGTTTTCTCGTTACTCAACTCAGTTCTAATGGGTCTTTTTAATGTGGCTTTTTTGCGTCCAGTGAGGCGCAAGCAGATGCGTGCCCGTATTAGGGCATGGTCGGAGTCCAAGCAGGTACTCCAGAATGAGCGACAATCTTCTACCGACCCTCTCCAACGATGACTGATGGCAATATGGTCTATTTGAGTCCATCGTTGGTTTGGTGTAGGGGTTCGCCATGTTAGACGATGTCTCTCCTTATGCTTAAAATTTGTTTGCTAAAAATAAACGATTGTCTGAGCGCAGTTGCAGCAGACGATCACCATTATCTGTTCGCTGTGCCGGTATACTAAAATACCCACCTAAATGCCTTTCTTTTTGGTTTAAACTACCTATCTGGGCATTAAAGTCACCTGCTACGAGTACTATGTCTGAACGTTTAGCTTTCTGAAGAAGTTCAGAGAGCTTTCTGTAAAATTCATCTTTCACATCATCTGAGCTGCAGTCAGTGGGAGCGTAGGCAGAAACGACGAAAAGGCAACGACGTGTGTCCCTATCCTTCCGAGTTCTTACGGAGCCGTTTAGCCGAACAGCACATAGACGACTGTTGACGGGGATCCACTCTAGCAGTGCTTGTTCGCCCTCATGCTTAGTGCTATGCCTACACCTGCCAGTCCACGAGAACTGGCCATCGGGTCACCAGATACACGGAGGGTGTATCTCGTTGGCTCTCCGTTTTGCCGAGGTGAGGTCAAGTGAATGACCACACTGGATCCTGTATGCGTGTTTCGGAGACACAGCATACATCAATGGTACGAGACTCTAGGGTTTTAGCCAAGGAAGCCTGCTGACCGATTTGACATAGGGTGCGTACGTTGAAGGCTCCAATGTGTTGTTTGGAGCGAGGTTTCAGTAGACCTGGGACAGTGTTTTGAGCACTAGAATCGTTGGCTATGGTGACACTTGAGGAGGAAGCCGAAAAAAGTTTAGAGTTGAAAGTCGATGTAGGAGGAATAATAGGAATTGAAGAGGAGGTTGATTATGAATACAGTGGTCTTGAGTGCTGTTAGAGGTATGAGGGCGGTTATCACTTCCCGGTTGCCCACACCGTGGAAGGGTTCTTCTGGAGGTACCTGAAAAGGAAATTGGATTAGAAGTGGTCTTAGTGACCTGGAGCGTGACCGCAGTGCCCAAGGGACAACTGCTTGAGGTCGGTCACACACGACCTTTTATGGGTAATTTTTGTGTTAGCTCCGTACTTGTTGAGACCTTACCGCCGGAGACGGATATCCGTGGGATAAGGCGAGGTGTGCATTTTTAGGGTCGACCTTTTCTAACCCCACCCCTCCTTGTGGGAAGGCAGCATCGCTGTCATGCTGGTTGTCTGAAGGAAACACCTTACTGCTGTCACACCTCTGTACAGTCAGCAGTACGACTTCGCCTTCGGACCTTGGGTTTGTTGCTTTTAGTCTTACCGCTCTTCAACCGACCTGTCTGACGTGGTAGGACCTTGAGGAACAGTTGTTTCAGTCAGTATAGCTCGGTTGCTTCATCACGATAGACAAGCCCGACCACCACGTCAAGGTCACAACAACGGTCGGGGCACCTATAATTTCCGAGTATATATAACCATTTATCACACAAGGTTATTCTGAACAATATAGTTTTTATTAGTGCAAACCTTTTATGTAAGTCAAACTGAATTCATCTAATTGCGCACTTATTTTCACAAAACAAACATGTTATCATTCATATAATAATCGTCTGAAAATCATATTTCACTGCCTAGTTGTGCGGTTATCGAAGAAATTTTAAACATACATAGAGCCCAGTGGTGGACCGCCGGATTGTAGATTCAAGGGTAACACAAAAGATTAGATATATACAACACATATTCCTGACTAGTTCGATTACCTTAAAAACATTTTCTTCAGGTTTAGTGGATATTATATATTTCGTGTAGTTCATTTATTGGTGCTTGTTTTTGAACTGTATTTATTAGTTCAATTTGTTGTATTATTTTCAACAGTGTTTTAAAATACCTTTTAGTGTTATCTCGGGGATGCTTTCCGATGTTCTACATGCCCTTACCGTGGGCTTCCACCATTTAAGCCTGGCGAAAGAATTCTAATACCGGATGATGTTTTGAAAGCTGATTTGTGACAGACGTACATACACTTTGCAGACTAGTCTATTGTGAATCTCCGTATGTCCTTACTGTTATAACAAACCACACTTCTTGACTTTCTCGATGAATTTTGTTATATTTATCGTTTTCACCAAACATTTTAAATAGTATAACTTCTTACTTGGACTGAGTGTCTATGATATACGTTAGCATGAAATTAGGTACTGATGCTGAGAAATGTGTGTTTGGTATCATAAGTTTAGCCAGCACAGTGAATTCATCACTAGTCATATGTAAAACCTAACTAACAGAGAAATACGTAATATGTGCACAACTGCATATCAGACCACACTATCTCGTCGTATAAAATAGCAGGTTAACCCATGAGATGAGAAAGGTTTATGTAAGTGCTGATAAATGCATTCATCCTTGACGCACATAAGTTACGTCATATGGTCGTTTATTTGCTCTTTATTACGTTTGTACGAGTAAAATTGAGAATGGTAAGCACAATTTTCACATTCGTCAGATCAGTTCAAAAATGTTTCTACATATTTTAAAACCTCTCATAGTCATCCTAATTTATCCAAAACGATAATAATGCAAATGCTGTACTTTTTGAGGTTGATAATTTCTTGTTTGTTCAAGTCGCTGCACGAAGAAAATGGAAAATTGTTATAATCAAAGGACACGTATTGCCTATTGGAAAACAGTTTGATATTTGCCGTAGGTGTTAATCCCAATGGGAATATCTCACCAACAAATAGATCTAGTTGCCCCACTTTGTCTACTTCACTAATATTTTTTGCGGTGAATGGGTTTAAAATGCACATGTCTAGCGAATGTTATTTAGCACTACCTGGATTATCGGTGATGTATCTTACTAAGAAGAAATATATACGGCATAATGTTTACGTGAATGTGATCAGTAAACAAAAATGATATGGTGAATTTGAAATTAAGATCAATAACACTAAAAATACGAAAGTTTAATATCAAGAACCGTTAGTAGTGGAATACATAGAAAATAATTTATCCAAAGAAACTGAAAATACAAATTCTATATTATATATAATCCTCATTATCGGATTCCGAGTTTGTTTGTGGTACTGATTTGTGTTCGACAAGGGTATCTTTATCAAGAGACGGTTCATGATCACCAGGTGATTCGGGAGATCGCTCGCTCTGATCATACTGCATAGCAAATTCAGTGTAAAATTCATTGAAATCGAGTCTGTACAAGAAGGAGAAATGTATCACTGTCAGACCAGAAAATAAATTATAACAGGTTATTAGATAATGTTAGAAATTTTAAATCACAAAACAAATAAAAATTCTTTGATATGTGCAACTATATCGATGTAATCATTAACAGTCAAGCAACAGAGATATACTAACCAATATAAAAGTCATCAAATGGAGAAAATTGATGAATACCCTTAGAATGTTTCGCAAGTTTACATGGGTACTTATGATGTGTTTGGAATTTTCATGTATAAAGGTTTACGTTTCACTACTACCAACACGTTGTTTGGGGGTTTTACTACCGCATACAAATAAAACATCAAGTGCGATTGTTAGTGTTAGCAGGATAAAGTTCTGACTGTTACATTCGTCAAGCTCTATTCGGAATACTACAGATTTATTTTCAAACAATCATTGCTGCCAAACGAATCAAGGAGATGCTAAAAGATCCCTATGCGAATCCTATATAAACTAGTGTTTTTACTACTGTGTTTGTTATTCGAATTTATTGGAATTTACATTGCTCTCTTGTAATTCTTAAGTTGGTCAGAGAAGTTCCGAATAAACTAGTTTTTAAGGGATACTATGTAGTGAAAGAACATAAAATATGCAATTGCAGAAAACGAAAATCAGAGTAATAATATATAAGAAGAATTAACTAACCTTGATACTAGACTTAACAGTTTACTGTGATGCTTAGCATATTGTTTGATCTTTTCAAGCAGTTCAACTAACATTCTGTTGAAATTTGTGTCAAAGTTTGTAACCGTTTTAGCCATATCATCTGACAAACTCATTCTACCAAACTCTTCTCTAGTAACCTAAAATTATAGGGGAATGAAATTACTATGTACTTACTGATTGACATTGTGTCAGTGAATATTATGCAGCAAAAGCACTCGTTGCAATCAGAATATTTTCCAAATTTACAGTTTCCAGTCATGATGTTGAATGTACATAAATTTGGCTGTTTTAAATTGAACATTTATGTATTAAAATTATGCAGAATAAAGCAATTTTAGTGTGAATTACAACTCCCATTTGCCTATATACTAAGAATGATACTATTACTTGAAGTTTAAGAATTGTTACGATTTAAGTAATCTTGTCTGGATCTGAGACCATTCATTAAGACAACAGTAGTTCATTATTGCCATATATTCAGATAACTAAGTATTACACATGAATATGAATAGTTCCAAAAACATGCGTGGTGACTTGTAAATATGCACATAATTTCAATGTTCTGCGATGATATATCTATTTGTCTAAAAGTTTTGTACAAGTAACGCAGAAAATAAATGCCAAAGCAAACACATATAGTTCAACATACATAAACCGAATATGCTTTGAACATGACAAAGCAGCTGCTTCAATGGTGTCAGAACTTTCAAGAAATATGTAAATACATGAAGAATATCACACTCGAATTGATGTTTGCAACTACTTGGATGATCTATAAAAAGGGACTGATTACTTCATTTCTGTCTTGCAACAATAAAACACAAAAATTGTCAGGTAATGAAAGATCAATCGACTACTTACCTTTGTCATCATAGATTCTACTGAACTAGTGGTAGATTCACGAGGTGCATATTTTAAATCATTCTTTGTTCGACCTAAATTGATGATGGTGTTGGATCGTGTAGGAAAGGCCTTTCCATATCATTACTATGCCGCGATAAATAAACAATACATTGATCATTATCTCCAGATGATGATAAATTGACTCCTGTTATAGAGAACGCCAAGTGTTGGATAAAATTAGCAAACGTTACACAGGCTACAGATAATTTTCCAACTAAACTTAATAGGTCAGGACTAGCTAGTAAACAATCATCCATACATACTTCCAAAAAATGTAGATGTGAGTCTAAAAGTAAGTCCAAATTAGATACCTACCGAAGAATGAACAAATTAGAAATTCATTATGGTAAATAATACAATAAAAATGTAAGCAGGACGTGATTTAGGTTACAGACAAGTGTCAAATAAACTAAAGTTTAAACTGAGAAATACCACCAACTAGGTAGCAACGTTTTGCAGAAAATTTATGAATCAAGTCTGAAAAAATTGTGAAGAACAAGTAATACAGATTAAAGGGTGCTGTTATATTTCCTGTCTGACTAGTTTGATTGCTCCATTCCCCTCAACAAAACACTTTTTTGATACAAGTCCTGTTTTCGTGGCTAGCTTTAACAAAATCCAATGGAATCGTTAAAATGAATTAACGTTCACATTCATGGTCAACAAAATTTTTCGATTATCACAATTTTTTATGATTCAACAGTTAAGCCGCCTTCATTGTATGCCCAGGTTAATATTTTGTGATTTGTAAGTAGTGTGTTTTACATTTATCTCTTGTTGAATATAGCTATGTTAATTTCCTTTGTGCGTGCTTAACGACTTGGATACGTGAAAATGATGTATGTGTATATATAACAATAAAGGAATTGGCAACAACATACTTTGTCAACGCGTTTGAAAAAATTGTGCCATGCTGGTTCAATGATCTCAACAGACATGTAATATTGGAAATGTTGAATAAAAATAAGCATTCGTTGGGCCAATAGGAAAGCGGTTGTAAACCAGGTAGTCATAAGGTTATCACATTTACGAGCAAGTTTGCCTAGAATCCATGAGCTGAAATGATAGTGAAAAGGTTAGACGATAGTTTACAGTAACTTATTTCAAGATTATGCTTTGAATCAATATATACCAAAGGCTTAATGCCCCAGCAACATTTAATTAGAAATGAATATTCATGACAAAAACAGCTTTCTAACTGATATAACGGATGGTCCAAAATATTTTCCTTACAGCGTATGCTGCACAAATACGTTGATACGATAATGAGACTGGTCAAGTTATATCGTATCCAAGATTCACAACCCAGAATAGAGAACCAGATTAACACTAAATGATATTTTATTCCACAATTACAAATAGATACACTCAGTGAGTCCCGAGTCTAAATCAATAATAGGAAAGAAAAGCACATATTTAGTAGTTAGTAGGAGAATTGCCTGTTTGTCCAAACTCAATGACCAATCACATTTCCTCACTAACACATATCACTAAACTATTCACAATCCGCAAAAATGTGAATTAAACTAAGATTTTGCAGCTATCCATGGATGACAACTTTAAACATCCCAAACTTTATTGTAGAAATCAGTTTGATTATTAAAACGCCTACGCGAGGGAAGTGGTCCATTTTCGATTTCGCTGAGTTTGACAAATACCTGGACAATATCAGTGATATCCGATACACTCACAAGTTATAATTACAACTGGCGGTAGCTAATGCACTTGACTTTCCAGTTCAGCGATCCAAGCGACGTAGCTAGCCTTCACACGGTAATGTGGATTAAAGCGATGTACACAAACCGGTATTTGGTTGCTGGTTTCTGAATATGTCTGAAACTCACGGTCATAATTCTCATAGTTCATAGATTAGTGGAATTTTCCGCGGTAAGCATGTATTCCTAATTCGGTTTAAATAATTTGTTTACAGGTGGTAAACAAAATGAAAGAAAAGGTGCTAACATAGTATTTCTTACTTGCATAGTAATCTCTCAACATGTTTGCAGTATAAAAGATGACGGAAAAGCATTTGGTAGCGATCCATTACTTGACGATTGAGTACTAAATCAATAGGCCAGCCAACTCTATAGTCCAAACAGAAAGCCTCTAGTCCTGAAAGATTTTTATCCTCGATCGGTAAGACGTTGTCTAAGTCACAAATAAATAACATTAAAAAAGTATGTTTATTACGAATATTATTAATTCACTTTAAAAATACTGACTTTGAGTTATCTGTTGTCACACAGAAGAGGCGGTGAACAATATGTAGCGAGACGATACCTAAAATTTTAAACGTCCTGCTACACTCTATATGATCATACTGATCTGTGAGAGAACATAATAATTGCATTTGAATTGTCAGCAATCTCAAAATTGGTCTACCACAACTGATTTTGATGGAGTAAATAACAATTTTAAATTGAAGTTAATATTGGAAGACAACTGATGGTAGCTTGAAGTTCGAACACTGTCTTTTTTGCACTATTCAATTAATTGAGAAATTTGTTTACAACATGTGACAACCTGTGTTCCTGAATATTGTTAGGAACCCACAAATGTCCCGATAGTAAGGGCATCACCAGATTAACAATAATAAAGTAAATTATGATTTGTGAGTTGCACAGGCTTCAAAGTTCATATACATTACAGGAGATCAACAGCGAATAGCTTTTGAAGGATTTACGTTAAAAATATATACTTTGCTTGTAATGAAATAGTTTTCATCATTTGCGATTAAACTTCTACATTGATTACTTGAGTGAAAACAAATTACTCCAAACTACCTAGGGGTTACTCTTTAAACAATTTTGAAATGGTTTGTTAGGCAATATTGTTGTTAGTGTGTCACTAGCTAAAGAATTGTTTATACACATACGAAGCCAATAACCAGAGAAAAACTAATGCAACAAGTTACTGGGTAAGAGACATTAATTAACTCCGCAAAAAAAAAACAATGGGGTTAGACCTAATGTTAAAAATAACAAGCTAACTTATGCTATTTTATATACACTGAATGCATTTTTAATGTTGGTTTATTTGCAGACATCCACTTAAATGGCTAGATAGGATACGATGGAACTTGAAAATATAGTTAATTTAAATTCTTGGTACACCATAATTTCAAAATAGATCAGAAGGGATATGTTAGGTGTGCTCAGCTAACTAATCAGGGTTAAAATATACACTCGTAAAAGAAATGTGGTATTCACTATCATCTTAAATGACAATGATTCCTATTAGCATGTTGTTGATAAATTGGAACTACCAAGCATAGTAAATTTTTATTGCACGACCATTCGTCGGTGTAAAAGCTATAAAAGGTGAAAAACCTTTTTCTACATAAATAACACCGCCCATATAAATGGAAAAATTCAGTAATAGAATCCTGTAATTATTTTCCGGATAGTTAAATAACCGAAACTATTATATTGTAGGGTAATAGAAAAAAATAACGAAATGATAGGGTGTGAAAACTTAGATTACCCGGTTCGTCTTCTGATCCAGCTCGTAGAACCATTAAAATTTGAGAGATTAAATCAAATTGAAATATCACAACGCTAAATGACAAATAAACAGAGAAAGTAATAAACGTATTTCGAAAATCATGAAACAGCACAAGTTTGGTTTATTAAAGCTGATTACATAGTAAAACTAAACTATCATTTAAATACAATATAGAAATAAATAACAACGATTTTTCGATGTAAAACATTTTCAGTAGCGAATTTTACTTACGATAAATTATCTTTGAATGGATCACTATTAGCAGTGCTAGTACGAAGTGCCAATTCCAATAAAGAATTTAAACGTAGTTGAGAAATAACTGGAAAAAAAGATAAATACATGAAAGGTATGTGACAAAGACTCGTTCTTTTCCAATTATAAAAGACGTAGATATCATGTCTCAGCTAGCATTATCCCAAGGTATTTTACAAGCCCATTAAAACAATACAATTTGTTCAAACAACTTTAAAATGTACATCTCAATAGTATGCAATAGTATTTGAACACAATACGCAAATAATTATGATTAACACATTTGTGAATAATAATATTAATATTCATTTTTACTTTCGCTATTTTTACGTAATTCTGCTGCAGCGGCATCCATAAAATGAACAATAAAATCACCTTGATCCAACAGAAAGAAACGCTTAACAGATCTGCAATACAAATAAATATGAAGCTATTTTAAAGAAGGTATTCGTCGTTTTACTTACTATAATGCATTTTCATTTGTAGCAGCAAGCTAACAGTTTTAAACATTAATAAATTTTTATTTGTTAGAATGAAAGCATTCATGAAAATAGTAGAGGATTATTCAATTTGATTTGGAATAAGGGTATGCAGCTATAGAAACATATATAATCACAAGGAATCAGTCAAATACTACTATTAAGAGCGGCTCTTCACACACAGAGGTTACGGGAATTTCTAAAGCAAGTAGGGTTTTTTCAATAACAACTAATTCTTAAAGCGTTATTCACTAAAATAACAATTCGCAGTACACAGGTGGAAGTATTTTTATTTAATATTCTAAAAATGTAACTAATGAATTAGTTATTTCTTATTATTAATATTTCTATTACAACTCCCTTTCTCCTTTTATTTCTAAATTTCGGCCATTATGATATCCGTTGTTTATACATGACTTACTGATGTTCGTCTTTATTTCGTTACATAACTTTTGTTATTATTCTAACTGATAAAAGTCTCTTTAAATTCTATTACCCGCTACTGTATAATTTGTTCATTTTGTAATTACATGCGTGAACCTGCAAGTTACAAAATGCCTTTGAAAGTTATAATTGCCCTATTCATTCGATTGCCTATATTTACTTCCGAAATCATTAATCGTCATTTTCATAGATATTTTGGCACTGGTTTTACTGTTATAGGAAAATAAATATTTTACTTTAGGGTTATAATGGGAAATTGGAGGGAAATGCTTCTTCACTTCATTAGTCTATTTCCTAAAACATAAGTTTGAGAACAAATTCGTATATTCGTTCCTAAATGAGAGTCCCAGAAGTCATCAGTGTACATAAAACTCACCATTTCAAACAAAATGACTTCCAAAATGAATCTCTAGGGTTCTTATTTACAATATGTAACCTTTGAATGGATTCTAGCTGGAAGTGAGGACAGGTACCACTAATTGCAATGAAGCAGTATACTCAAACATATCAATTCACTGAAACTAGCAAAATGAACTAGGAAATGTATTGACCGATTATTATGTAAAGTACACGTATTTTCGTAATAATCTTAGTTAAAACATATGCTAGTTTTTCTGGAGAAAATTATTATGACAATTTATTAAATGTAAATATGATAGAATTACTTTAGGTGTTCTTTTAAATCCTTTTGTTGCAGCATCAATTTCAATAATAAACTGCTTGCGTACAGATGAGCTTGGTCAATTTTATCAAGAAACACTGAATGTTCTTTATTATAAACAAGTTCTTCACACGTAGGAAGCTCATAACGATCGGCTAAAAAATAATAAGTTAAAATTTTGAGTAATCGACAACAAGTTATAACAAGAAAGAGAAAACAATTACATATTACAATTTTGGTTACAATATGCAGTTAACATAGTGGTTAATAGTAGTGAACTATCTGATGTCAAAAGAAATACACCCAATTCATCATCTCTGTGACAGTACTGGGAAACAATTTTCGTATAAATACATGTCACGGAGGATCTGGTAACTCGGGAAGCAGTTCGTCATTCATATTATCCTTTTTGAACTCATTTATTTGTTTAAATCATAAACCGATCAGTAGTAGACCAACACTGAAAACCTGGAAGCAATAGACGGCCGTTTTGTTCAATATATTTATATTGATAATACTCTTTATGAGCAATTTTAGCCTCCAGAATAGATTCTGTTGAAGCATTTCTCCATATAAGGGCAGTTTTATTCATCATATTATTGGATCACTCAGTAGCACATACTCCTTAACTGTAAACGAAACGTGACGTGTGACTTCCAAATCTACCACAAACAAAGTTATTGTTGAACCCTCAAATCAAGATCCAACAGAGAGCATTTTGACAATCAATTAACTAATTAAATGTCAGTTATGTGTGGACCAATATGTGGCTGAAAATATTAACCTGTAGGTTAGTTTTAAATCCATGAATAGCCAACGGTTAAGTGATTTGAAATAGCAGTAATTATTTTATTCAATTTTATATGTTTGATTAAAATAAAGAACTCTAAGCAAAAATGTGCAATATTGAAACAGGCATAAAAAAGTTTTACCCACAGTAATAAGGTGCTGTTTATTTTCCCCGATAATAGTCTACAACTAATTTACGTAGCATCTATAGAACTTATTTGATAATACATTTGATATATGAAATCTAATGTAACCGCCTTTTGTTTCTCTGAAAGAACAGGCAAAGAGGACGAAATATGGATTACTGTGATGATCCCTCGTAAATTTTGTAACAGTTAGCTTCGTAACAGGTTGTTAGCCTCTTGAAAAAGCGTGTGAATCACATTAGGCGATTATCATATACAAATGAGTAGTTAAAACAGGAAATTTTATTTTAATATTTGTACAGTTGAAAAAAGGTCCATAGGACACTAACGTTTTTAAGATGATTTTTCGCTATGCAGTGGTGTATTCGTAATTTATATAAAAGTAGAGAGACTGTAACTACACTGGTACTTAACTACAGTTGAAACAGTGTCACTCATTCACAATGTAAGCTTACAAAGTTAAATTGGCGATATACCATGTCTGTGTCTCTTGGAAACATGAGTTAATCTGCGATCCGAACCATCGTATAAATCGGACGAACACGAGATTTGCTAACCTGATTAAATACGACTTTGCACATGCTGATTATTTATAATATTCTGATTCAAGGTAAATCGAACAACGAGTCTCACTGATAGTTTGCGAGCAGTTGTGTCAACGTAATGCTATATGCAAGATTCTTTCTGTACTATGTCCTCATATGCGATCTTTCTTTTATATATTACCACCACTGAATTAACTACTTATATGAATTCGGTGTTCATCTTGTTGTGCTAATGAGGTATGGCAACTTGAACCGATGCAAATATGTGCCCGGTCTTACGTTGTAGCTGACTGATATACAAGATATGCATTAAACAGGTATTTTCTCCATATACATACATACAATACTAGATGTATTACGACTACCTGCTCTCTGAATTTCCAGCCTAGAATTTTGTGTGCATATAAAAACTGACACCAGTTAAAAAAGCAAGTATTTTTTGTGCTCAACTGGAGGTAATATTATCTAGAGGACTTCCTGATTCATGGCTACCTACCACTAAATCACTGAATGCTAACCAAAAAACACAGTGAACTTCAACGATAATCAGATTCCACTCATGAAAAATTGTAACGCTGAAATCTGACTAAAAATCTACAGTAGATTTAAGAAGCACCAGTACATCCCATATGATTGACTAACTAAGAAACAATAAATGTGAATTTTGTCTTCGTTGGCTATCATCAGCAAGTAGTAACTGTAAGTTCTAACATACGACCAAAAATCTCGATGACACAGAAACAAATTTTACTTTTGAACCATCGTTGTTAACTGATCCAAAAATATGAGATGAAATGTGCTAAATTCGAAAACAGAATTAGGACTACTAATATTTAAAAAATGGAAACTTCACACATCAGTCACGTTTTTCTTCCTTATAACTTATGAAAGACTTAACAACGAGAGTTACTACAACTATAAACAAAGAAATTTGTTATACACACGAAACGCTACTTTAAGAAAACTCACCGCATTGCTGTACAACATTCAAATACTTGCCCGTACTAAGAATTTTCGAAGCATTAGGTTCAAGAAAACTTGGTAAGTTTATTGGTACAAGAGAATAATGACACTCCCAAAAGAATGCCCAGTCCACATAATTCTGTGTAAAACGGTCGAACTGGAATGAAGCTGAATGAAGATTATTTGGAGATGCTTTATCAGGATCATAAAAATTCGGCATAGATCCAGCTGAAATGAAAAACTGTAAATCCACGAAATTAAATGAATGTTTGACTGGCAAATTCGTTAAAATAATTACTTATGGTACTTCTACACGATTTTGTTAGTCCTATATAAAACTGGTAAGTAATGAGCAGTTATTCATCAAAGCTAGAAAGTAGGTGAACTTCGCTTGGAGCCCCTCTGGGGCTACTGCCGGTCCCAAGCCCGGATAAAGGAGGAGGGTTGGGCATGGGGTTAGCGACCCCATCCCGTAGAAAACTAACTCGATAAAAAACGCTAACCAGGGAAAATTATTCAAACCACTTAAACTCTGCCCTGGGAGTCAGAAAGTCTTCATTTAGAAGAATTATGACGCCTCATGATGAGAGCCGAATTCCTTCGGAAGTTACGAGGCCGATACCCCTTCTGACAACCAGAGCGACCATTTATTTAGGTACATAGAATGTTCGTACAATGTGGGACACCGGGAGAGCCTTCCAAATTGCTGCAGAAATGAGGAGATACAACCTAGAGGTGCTTGGGATTAGTGAAACACATTGGACTCAAGTTGGACAACAACTTTAGGACAGCTGCTGATATACTCCGGTTACGAAGAGGAAAATGCCCCACATACACAAGGAGTTGCATTGATACTGTCCAAACGAGCACAAAATGCACTTATAGGATGGGAATCTCATGGACCAAGGATCATCAGAGTCTCCTTCAAAACAAAGAAAGAGGGCATTTCAATTAACGTCATCCAATGCTATGCGCTTACCAACGACTACAATGAAGATGTTAAGGATCAGTTCTACGATAGGCTGCAGTCAATCGTCGAGAAGTGCCCAACAAAGAACTTAACCATTCTGATGGGAGATCTAAATGTCAAGGTCGGAATGGACAACAGCGGATATGAAGACATCATGAGACGACATGGACTAGGAAAAAGGAACAAAAATAGTGAGAGATTTGCAAACCTATGTGCCTTCAATAAACTGGTCATAGGCGGCATTATATTCCCACACAAACGCATACACAAAACCACATGGACTTCGCCGGATCACACTACACAGAACCAAATCGACCATGTCTGCATCAACAAAAAGTTAAGGAGGACGATGGAGCTGATATGGCATCAGATCATCTCTTGCTGGTCGCCAAGATGGAAATGGAAACTTAAGAAGCAGTGGACAACGGGGCGGACAACACCACAAAAGTTTAATACGGCTTTCCTTCGAGATACTGACAAACTCAACCAATTCAGAATAGCCCTCAGCAATAAGTTCCAGTCCTTTCATGATCTACTCAATGGAGAGGGAACTACTATGGAGAGCAACTAGAAAAGGATAAAAGGAGCAATCACTTCAACATGTCATGAGATTCTGGGCCACAAGAAGCACCACCACAAAGGATGGATAACTGTTGATACACTGGATAAGATTCAAGAAAGGACGAACAAGAGCAGAAAAATCCGAGGCACAAGCTGAATACACAGAAGTAAACAAGCAAATGAAGAGGAGCATCAGAACCAACAAACGTAAATATATGGAAGATCTTGCAATGACGGTGGGAAAGGCTGCAAGAGAAGGAAACATGAGACAGTTTTATGACACAACAAAGGAACTCTCTGAAAATTACCGTAAATCAGAACGACCAGTGAAAAGCAAGGAAGGCAAAGTAATCACCAACATTGATGAACAACGAAACAGGTGAGTAGAACACTTCAAAGAACTCTTGAATCGACCAACTCCACTGAACCCACCCAACGTTCAAGCAACACCCATGGACCTCTCAATCAATGTTGGCCCACCAACGATTGAAGAGATCAGCATGGCCATCAGACAAATCAAGAGCGGCAAAGCAGCAGGACCAGACAATATTACAGCGGAAGCACTAAAAGCAGATGTGGCAGTAACTGAAAAGACACTCCGTATTCTCTTCAGCAAGATTTGGGATGAAGAACAAGTACCAACGAAATGGAAAGGACACCTGATCAAGATACCAAAGAAAGGCGATTTCAGCAAGTGTGAGAGCTATAGAGCCATCACTCTTCTCTCAATACCAGGAAGTCTTCAACAGGGTATTGCTAAACAGGATGAAGGAGTCCATAGACGCCCAACTTCGAGACCAACAGGCAGGATTCCGTAAGGCTAGATCGTGTACCGACCAAATCGCAACACTACGGATCATTGTGGAACAATCAATTGAATGGAATTCATCACTCCACACCAACTTCATTGACTATGAGAAAGTATTTGATACCATGGACAGGACAACACTATGGAGGCTTCTTCGACACTACGGCGTACCGGAGAAGATAGTCAATATTATACAGAGTTCTTATCATGGATTAAACTGCGAAATCGCGCATGGAGGACAGCTGACGGACTCGTTCGAAGTGAAGACCGGTGTCAGGCAAGTTTGTTTACTCTCACCCTTCCTCTTTCTTTTAGTGATCGACTGGATCACGAAGACGTCAACATCTGAAGGGAAACACGGGATACAGTGAACATCTAGGATGCATCTGGACGACCTAGACTTCACAGATGATCTGGCCCTCCTATCTCAATCGCAACAACAAATGCAGGAGAAGACGACCAGTGTAGCAGTAGCAGTAGGTCTCAATATACACAAAGGGTAAAGCAAGATTCTGCGATACAACACAGCATGAGTCACACGTGAAGAAATTCGAACACATCACTTCCACTTAAAGTTTGCGCTAGTGATGTCGTTCAGAAGAACGATGAAAGATCCACGACCAAACCATCCAACTCCGAGAAAAAATTCCCACCAAGATCTGCATCTGTCACGTCTTTCTGATTCGATGATAAATCTCGTGGAATAATTTAAAATGGATATTACTTTGATAATGTATTCGTCTCTATCTGCCTCAAATTAATTACTACGTAACCCATCTTATCAATCTTTAATTCCAATAATCCTATGAAAGTTCTTCATAATATCTCAAATTATCACACAATCTATCTTATATATATAATTATTATTAATAGCTTTTGTCATTCTAATTCTTTTCGTTTTTCCGTCAATTATTTGACATTATATTTAGCCTCAAGGTAAACTTTCAATAAATATGTGATCGTAAGCAGCTGATGATAAACCACGAAATATGAATTTATATTATTCGGTATCAATATTTACGTGATCTTAATTCTCAGTTTGTAAGTTTATGTTAATACAATCTGTCGTTCACATCTTATTTTTAATTGCTCAATTGGATTAGCATATTTATGACGTTATTAAAACTCGAACCACAATATTTACTTTGTCAGTATATTTCTGGCCTACCTTTAAGGACATCTCAAATATATTTGTATGCAGTAGTCCTCTTTCGTTCTCTTTGTTCTTTTGAACAAGATTGCTCTTTTGTTTACCCGATAGTGCAAAAGTTGTTTGCTTATCGTACTCAAGAGACTGAGCCTGGGAGTAATTTGTTGCATATATAAGATAAATTACACAGGGCTACTGGTGAGTTATCAGTTGATGTGAGAGAATATGAGTTAGTGAGTCCAAAATGGGAAGAAAATATCCAATAAAATGTATTCTGAGTTCAAAGATGTTGGCAAAGTGTAAATGCTAAATCAACAATTATTCAAAACCTTAAGACATTATTTTTATGCTGGGAAAAAAGAGTAGAAGTTTTTAAATATGATGCGCATGATATATTTGACATATTCTTGACAAAGGATTATTGACTGACTGACTAACCTCTTTATATGGGTCAGAAATTACACCCCGATATATCCATTTTTGAAGAATTTTAAAAAAGGTACGGTAGCCTGATATAAAATAAATCACAGGAAAATAATTTAGGAAAGCTGGAGCACACAAGAAGGAAAACATACAACAAAACGCGAAATAGGAATGATACGTTTAATTGTAACAACGAATGTATTGATATATTAACCAGATAAAACTCGTAGTGCAAACGTAGCACGAAACGTCCAGTAGTAAAGTTAAGTGAAATAAAATTGACGTGTATTTTAATAAGAAAAGGATGTCGGAGATTTAATTCTATTACAAAAAAAGATCAATCTACAAACTGACTAACACCTCAATCGGTCAGTATTTAACTGGTTTAACTATATACCATCTGAAAATTATCCACTTGAATTCACTTTTCTTTGATATTTTACGTATCATACTCTTATTGCTTTCGTGTATCATACATTTTTTTAGCTCATACATAGTAAAGGTCTTATGAAAAAACAAAACTAAAGTGCTTTTACACTAACCGGCCGACTTTATTTAGTGATCTGTCGAAATTGAAGGAAATTGACTTTATTATAACAAACAGTGATATTAAGAATCGGTATTAGTTGATAAAAGTATCCGTTTTGTATATTCGCGTTTCTTAACCATAGCTGGTGTACGCACCATAATCCTCAAACGAGTACAGGATACTTGCAACTAATAAGTGTTTCGTTGATGGTTACGTGGAGTTTTAACATAGTTGTTGGGAAAACGTCACTAAGACATAAGAAAGATCCAGAAACAATACACTCATCGTTTAGATATTATAAACTGGTTACGTAAATTACGGATAATATGCCTGAGATACTAAAACCCTTCGAATTATCAAATAAATTGTTTTGGTTATCAGGATAATATTGCTCTCTAGAAAGTACGGTAGTAACCATTAACCTACTAAACAATTTGGTTGTTTTCAATTGCTTTATGTTCAAAATGACTATCTGGCTAACCATGATATCCAACGGTGGTTGGTTGACTTATTAAGTGGGCGGCACTGACGTATTCAAAGCACGGAAGAGTTGTAATAACAAATGAGATCCAATAGTGGTTTGAAGATTAGGCTGGGCGCATAAGTGATATCCTTACTTGATGTTATGGCCTAGATGCAACGGAAAGGAAGCCCTAGACATAGATTTTATGCTACGTGACACTCATCACCTAGGTGTATCTGCAACTTTGATGTAACTGATACTTCTCATAGTGTTTGAATATGCACTATCTAATTTTATTATCACAAGCGTTATTACGCAGCTATTCACATCGCAAATAATCACTTGGAGAACCGTAATATTTGGATTTATCAGGCATTAAGTATTAACCAATTTAATATTGTACACTCCGTTTCACAGATCATATTTTATTAACTGAGTCTCACAGACTAAACCTGTCCTCGGTTACTATTTAGTAACTAATTAGTGGATACTTGAACCGAACACATCAGTTTCCACTTACGTTGTAAAAGGGGAAATAATATGGTTTAATTCAGTTTCACCATAGTTAAACCCTAGTTATAGGTTTTTCGTATTAAACTAATGTTTCAGAATACGTTGGATTAGTCGCTATAATGAAATTAATAAAAGTACTATAAAAGAAAACCTAGCGAAACAATATGTGTGTATAAACAATATCAAAATAAAAAATTTTTCAAACTTACAGAACACAGGAGATAAAGCATTAAATCATGTAATTGTTTAACACCATATACAGACCTTAGAGAATCATACAACACTGATAACACTGCACCACCAGAACACTGTCCTGTGTTTATATTATAAACAAGGCGAGTCAACTGATTAAAAGCGGTAGCTGTTTCCTTCATAAATAAAAATAAAAATATTATTAAAAGTGAAGTTTTATTGAGTGGATAGTATACATGGCATAGCTAGTTTTTACTATAAGTAACCCGGATTTTTCGCACCTCAATATTCCAACATTTTTTTAACTTTTCGTAAAAAGAAAGTCACAACACAATGGCAGATTGAAAAACCCATGCCACTCCTTGCAGATGTAACACATTTATTTTTAAAATCAACGACAAACCCAAATATATCTTGTGTTTAAGAGAGTAATAAACTCGTATGACTTGTTTCAAGATAAATTAATCTGTTAGTTTGTTGTTTGGCTAACAAGCCATCCCTGCTACCTTCGAAAGCTATCCCATTTGATAAATTTAAATGGTGCAATGAGAAAGCGAAATTTCTAAGATCAATATTATATATATCAGCGGAATATATTCCGAACAGCCTGATTACATATTTACTTAATAAGATATTCATATATGAAAAGCTAATATTAGACAAACTGGGAGATAAGAAAAGCAAAGATAGGGAAGAAATAATTCAAATTATAACTCCGGATAACAAATCAATAATATTAGGATAGGTTTACCAGAAGTATAAATTGTTTTCAAACATACAAAAAGGATTAGGACGTGAGTGTGATTAACGGTCCAACAAATCCAACCATTCTCACTAAATAACTTTTATACAATATTACAAAGGCTGAGTTATTAACAACTGAATGATGTGTCAATTGTTTTGGGTAATGGAAGAAGATAGGTGGTTTCCATCTGCTCCTACTGAGTCATTTTGAAACAATTATTGAACTGCACTTTCTTTTGTTGCACAAAATCCAAACTACTTTAAGATGTTTAGTGCTTTAGAGCGCAATTGTGACACATATACTTACAAAGAGCATAAATAAGGCATGTGATTATGCGTTCTCCCTCTAATCTTACTTGAAATATTAACTTTCATAGAACTCTGACGATTGCGAGAAACTCATGAGGCTGTTTCATAAAGAATGGATAGATTTTCGTTCGGATCCATCATCATAGTTATATTCATTGAAGAATATTGTTGTATTTATGGTTGCGTGAGCTGGATAAAACTGTTCTCTGGAACCGTTTGTTGGGGTGAATACGTAAGTTTATGAACATTATTAAAGTCCTTCATAAAAATACAGTAAGTAAAATAAGAGCATGTAATCAATCCAACCATCCTTGACTCACGAAGAACACACTGACTGACAACACTGTGTAGTTACTCCTAGGGTCCAGTAACATGTCACTGGGCAAAAAGGGAATTATCATTCAACATATATTTTGGAATATTGGGTCACACAACCTGAACATATTATGCATGTTATCCCGGTGACAACCATACAGGAGCAATGATAGTTGAGAGTGAGCTGCAAAAGTAAGGGGGTGGTCTGTTTATGAAGTGATACAAGATGAAAGACATTAGTATTGAATTATCATGTATTGGTTTGTCACAATACTCTGAGGTTGTCTTCGTTTTACATACAATGGTATGAAAAATAATGATACTAAAAGGTTGCCCATCGAAAAAATGTGGATAAGAGGAGAGTTTTGATTGGTATTAACTCAACTAAAACCAAACAGTTTAAACTGGGACTTCAATGATAGAAATCTATAATAAAAGGCGTATTTCGAATCTTATGTTTATTGAATTTTTAGTTGGTAAAGTAAATTCGATATGTTGACAACTTTGAAGGGAATATATATCTATGAAGTGTCTGCAAGAGATACAACAGGAACCAATAGTACCAGAAGTAGTAACTATCTCACAAACAGGCCTGTGTATGAACACCGACCTCATAATGAACCTTTAAGATTGTCACCACACTCCTAACTAGTCTATTTCCAAGCTTCGGATTCGAAATCATTATCTCTTAGGATTCTAGACTGATTTTCGTTTTCTTACGCTTTGTGTAAATGTCTTTTGAATGTCATTCAAATTTTAATCACAAAATCGCTTACTTGCAAAAAAAAGTGGAGTTTAACTATTCCCAATTGACCAATTTTATACTGGTATTCAAGTTGACATAACAGAATAAGATAATCCTTAAGTAAACCGCGCATTGCACCTGCTAGTGCCTGGTTGACCGTTCCATATTCGAATGTGGACTTCTCTTTGGCAAACAAAAACATTTAAATAAGACATTATAAACTAAAAAATATGATTCTCAGAAATTTCCATACATTATCGACACAATAATTCGTAAACAAAAATAATGTGTAATAATATCCCAGTGCTATTATAAGTATTAGCTAAAGTCAGATCATATTGCTTGGAAGGCTATTTCTCGCCCATTGTTGAATAGTTTGGTTGCTTGCGAACCACTAACCAAGTACAGCTTTGTGTACCTGTCTTTTTACTTTACTTTTGTGTGAAAACCGGTTATATCAGATGGCTACCCAAATGAGAGGGATTAAAACTAAAAAATCATAGAGTGGGGTTGTCAGCAAGCAATTTAACAAGACCTGTGTTTAACAGTGGCCAAGATTATGTGGAATGAAAAGATAAAACCAACAATGAAATGAAACAGAAACTTACCACCTATAAATCTAGCCACTGTTGAATAGTCCGAACAAACTGGGAGAATTTTATTTACAGTATCTGATAAAGCGGGAGCTAAAACGAAGGATTTAAAAGTAAATACATGAAGCGGTGGTAAGCCACAACTAATCGCTTGAACAAAAAAGGTACAATTACTATTATACAACTCAGATCCTTAGTCGAGTTCAAGTTAGTTTGAGCATGTAAACTGATGATTACAGGTATGGTCTTAAGATTGTGACCACAGAAAATTGATATGAAAATGAGTGTGACAGCTCTAGCTCAGCCATATACGTAATTTTGTAATAAACATAGTTCTAGGCACTTCAATTATAATTTTTGGTGGTCGATTAAATGAAGTCTTTAGGGGTTAATTCATTAAAATACGTTAGCTCAGTTGTCCTTGTGCAATTAAAATCGACAGTCTCATAAAGGGTAGTGAGTGTTTCACGACAAATATGAAATAAAACTACGAGATACAAAATGATTGAGTGAATTATCCGACTTTGTAGTCGCGAGAGCGATTCTGATAACTCAAGCGAATAAATCACGGCCATCAAACTATAATGTGGAGTATTTTTATGCAACGAATGTATCCTAGCTCAAGTACTAGCACACGACTGAACAGAAACTTACTATTGCTAGTAACACTAAATGACTATAAAATAACAGAAAGAATGGAATGCGACATTTATCAGTTGATATGGAACATAAAAGAGAAGAACCTTAAACTGGAAGCCAATGGAGCTGTAAAAGTGTCAATGACTAGTAAGAGTTACTAGGTATCCAGTTAAATATTAACTGTCCGTAAAACGTTATTATTGACTCATATTTATAACATGAAAATTTGGTAAAATAGGGCATTAAAATTTTATTACGTAAAGTGAAATGATAACTAATAAAAATGGAAGAGGGTTAGGTCGTATAATTTGATTAGAACACCAATCCAAGTCGTTTATTGAAAAGGTGAATCCTACATGAGAAGCCCAGTGAAAAACAAAAGTAAAATCGCCACTGACTTTTACTTTGAGCTATGTCTGGCAACGTCTCAAACCAATGAGTTGCTGTAACTCTGACACAATTATCTATCTTGTCTATCATAAAGAATTAAATAGGCAACATTAGCCGGAATGCTAATTCTTTGGGGTAATCTAAATAGTTGCGAAATCAGAAGCATCAAATTCAGCGGGGCAGAGAGCGAATATGTACTATCAGCTGTATTAAGATGTTGTTGGTGTAAAGTGTTTGATGAATATAACTACCGTCTGTAAACTATTTTACCAGAATTTAGGATGAATAAGGATAGGTTGTATGTGGAAATACCACATCGACCCTTTCCCCCACCAAGGTTGGGAGGCTTCGCTCCCTCTCTCAAAATGCTCTCACATGACTGCGCGTGTACAGCCACTACCAGGGAAGACCTATTCACTGCCTTCTCGCGACAGGGGTGGTGTTTACGAAACTGAGAGAACAAAAGGTGAATGTCCGACACCTTAACCGAGTCAGTGGACACGGGGGATCCACTTGGGGGATTGGAAAATCCTGATTCCAAACCACGGGTGCACATAGGCTCCAGGGTCCTGAGGAAACGAAACAGCGTACGAACTTATTATTGGTCACCAATTACCATGGGACTGCATCGCCTAACGTTGCTCCACTGCCTTGTGGATGGGACCTCTAAGTCAAGGGCTCGAAAGGTGGCCCCCTAAGAAGACCACCTGCCTCAGTTTAGGCGCCCTGGCAGTATTCCAGTCCTCATACAAATCAGATGACGAAGTGTGGTGCATCTATATTTGGTGCCTCGTTATATCAACGTTTGTGTTTAAATAAAAAGTCTCTTGTCCCATGGACATTATGAACCAGATGAAAACACGGAGTTCATACCACAAAAAACATATCACAAATAAGTCGTGCGACTGGACTCTATGGTTACGCTGCCAGATCAACAAAACCACCATTACTAATCCATTTTAAGGCTTGGAAAAAGAATATTCTTTGGTGTAAATAAACGAGAAGTTTTATCCTCTCATAAACTACAATTCAACCCAAATTTACCTTATTTTTAGTCAAACCCCTTCTCCCTTTAGTCCCTGACTTATTCCAATTACCGACCATTCCTCTGTTTTCATTCTATGAGCAACAAGCACTAGCAATTCAAGCTTAAAAAATGTTACCGGTAGTCCCTTGAAACCGGACTCCAAACTTTATTAGTAGCCTTCGGTGTTTGAACCTTTTCATGCCGGACATACTATACTAGTCTGTACGTCTAAATTTTGCACTATTAACATACTATACCCCCAAAACCCGAACACACAAGCCAAGCATGGTGATTCATTCGATCCCACTGACAATATGAAGGTCCAGGATGGTTTATCCTTTGGGTAATTGAAAAATTGACGTCAACTTCTGTGGTTTTGGTGAAGTACGGATGATATCAATTTTAAAGATAGAACAGGCACTCCTGAACTGAATTTCTGTTGACGGATGAGCTTGCAAAATTATATGTGCTTTATTGGATGCAGTAAAATTGCAACAAGATTCAAAGCTTAGTTAGATGATGGGAATATTAAAGGTGTTTCTAAGTACCTAGGCACTTAATCGGCTGAGCATAGGCAAGTCGTTTGCAAGGGCCGGTTATATGTCTCAAAGTCACCGGTAAGTTAAAAGTATAAACGAAGCATCCGACGGGAATAGGTACTATTTATTTAGCCAAAGTCACTGCTTCCATATCGGTGACACACATATACTTATGAACTATATGCAGATTATTTGATTTTGTATTAACACTCCCTAATCAATTTCAGTCTTTTCCCTTGAATAGAAATTTATGTGAGCGTTTGGACAATGTGTGTATACTATGATTGCATCGGAGTCACGGATTACAACAGTCTACAGTAACGTTACACTTGGTGCTATAAAAACAGTAATGATTACTTTCAGAACCTAACCAAAACAGTTAGAAAAGATTAATCGATTTCACAAGTTTCTACTAAATTAGAAATCCATTCCATTGGGAAGAAATAGACAGAATAGAAGTTTACACAATTATTATGAAAATTAGTGAACAAAGAACGCAAACGAGATAAGCAAAAATCAAATGGAACGACCAGAAAAACATCAGGATAGCATCAACGTTATAGTGATGAACACAAACAATGATGGAGTTTACTACACGTATATTGATTCTATTTACCATATCACCAGCGCTCACATAGCTATGAAGGTTAATAATTTGAAATAGGATCAAAGAGAGATGTCTATAATCACGTGTCTTACTTATGTTCTTTCCAAGTATAGGTGTCACAATTGCTTCATTTTAGGATGATGGATGTCTACTGAACCTTGTTAAACAATCAAGACAGTTCTTTCATCATAATTTCATCACTATCGATGAGAAAAGTAGGGTCGTTTGGATCTAATGATTTGTGATGTTTCAGAGGTTGAAGGTTCATTTAAAACTCGACTTGAGTGAATCAGTAGTATTTGACCAAAGAGTACATGACACATTTTTCAAAGTTGTTGTGGTAATTGGGTAGATAGGTAAATTATCCTTTCGAGCGCTCTGCTTAGCAATTCAAACGCTCTGAAGATTACTGACTGACGCATCATCATGGGGTCTGGCAAATTTACTCAATCTTTTTTATACTTTCCACTGAGTTGAAATCTAATTTTCCATTTGACACTTGGATCTAATAGTTGATAGAATCAATTCCCTTAAATCAATACGTCTTGGAAAAATTTGCTGAAAAAGAGAAATGAATTTGAGGCACACGAGAGGACGACCAGAATCCAAACAGCAATCTAAAAAGAACCCATATCAGTACATATTTTGATCGTAAATAACTACTCGCAACATTATTAATTTGAATACAGGCTTGTGTTGCAGGAGGAGGTTAGTAGCAGATTTTATATATTACTTATGCCGCTACCCCTCATAGAGGAGTATAGGCCGCTCACAAGCACTCTCCATCCAACCCTGTCCTGGGCAATCCTTTCCAGTTCTTTCCAGTTGTTATTCATCCTTTTCATATATGCTTCTATTTCCCGACGTAATGTGTTCTTTGGCCTTCCTTTTTTCCGCTTCCCATCAGGATTCCAAGTTAGGGCTTGCCTCGCATTGCAGTTTGGTGATTTCCGTAATGTATGTCCTATCCACTTCCAACGTCTTTTCTTAATTTCCTCTTCAGCTGGAGGCTGGTTTGTCCTCTCCAACAGAAGACGGTTGTCGATGGTATCCGACCAATGGACGTTGAGTATCTTGCGCAGACAACTATTTATAATTACTTGTACCATCTTGATGATGGTTGTAGTAGTTCTCCACGTTTCAGCTCCGTACAGTAGGACTGTCTTGACGTTCGTATTAAAGATTCTGACTTTGGTATTGGTTGACGGTTGTTTTGAGTTCCATATGTTCTTCAGTTGTAGGAATGCGGACCTTGTTTTGCCAATCCTCGCCTTTACGTCTGCATCAGATCATCCTCGTCCTTGAAAGATTCAACATCTTCCATAGCTTCTCCATTAAGTGTGATTGGGTTGGTGCTCTTCGTATTGTATTTGAGGATCTTGCTTTTTCTTTTGTGTATGTTGAGGCCTACTAATGTAGAGGCTGCTGCTACACTAGTTGTCTTTATCTGCATTTGTTCGTGTGTATAGGATAGGAGGGCTAGGTCATCAGCGAAGTCCAAATCGTCTAATTGATTCTGAGCTGTTCATTATATTCCGTGCTACCCCTCAGATGTCGGGGTCTTCATAATCCAGTCAACCACTATAAGGAAAAGAGAGGGCGAGAATAATCAGCCTTGTCTGACTCTGGTCCTTACTTGGAATGCATTTGTCAGCTGTCATCCATGAACCAATTTGCACTGTAGTCCGTCGTATGAGTGCCGGATAGTGTTAACAATTTTCTCGAACTCCATAGTGTCGAATAAGTTTCCATAATATTCTCCTGTCCACGCTGTCAAGAGCTTTATCATACTCCTCCTCCCAAATCTCCTTGAATAGAAGGTGAAACATGGTTGTAGTTACTCCAATGTCTGACTTCAGTGCTGCAGCTGGTATATGGTCAGGTCCTGCTGCTTTCCCACTCCTGATTTGTCTGATGGACATCCTGATTTCTTCGATCGTTGGCGGAGTGACATCAATAGGAATATCTGTATGTGTTGCTTCGATGACCGGTGGATTCAATGGAGCTGGTCTGTTCAACAGTTCCTCGAGGTATTTTACCCATCTGTTCTTATGTTCTCGAGTCTCCATGATTAGCTTGCCCTCTTGCCCCTGACCGGTCTCTCTGGTTTTCTATATTTCGTTGCGTCACATTTCCTTTCCTTGTAGCTCTTTCTGCTGTAGTTGCTAGTTCCTCCACGTATTTCTGCTTGTCGGCTTTACTGCTCTTTTTCATGTGCTTGTTTGCTTCTGTGTACTCAGCCTGTGCCTTGACTTTCTCTGCTCGTGTTCGGCTGTTGTTAGTTGCTGTCTTCTGTTGAAAACTTTTCCTGGTACTGACAGTGATGTGATACCTCTGAAGTTCTCACATTTGCTCAGATCTCCTTTCTTTGGTACTGATGAGATGTGCTTCTTTCCACTTCGTCGGCACGTAGCTTTATGCATACGTTTGTGGTGACTATGGTGCCACCTATAACCACTTTGTTGAATGCACATAAATTTGCAAATCTGTCACCATTCTAGTTTCTCTCTCCCAGTTCAGGTCGTCTCATGATATCTTCATATCTGGTGTTGTCCATCCCGACTTTGGCGTTTCTTTCTCCTATCAGGATGGTCAGTTTATTTCCTGAATACTTCGCTGTGATTGATTGCAGCCTCTCATAGAACTGATCTTTATTGTCGTCGTTGCTATCATTGGTGGGTGCATAAGATCGGATAACATTCATTGTGATCCCCTCATTCTTTGTTTTGCATGATGCTTTGATGATTCTGGATCCGTGAGATTCCCATCCTACAAGTGCATTTCGTGCTTCTTTGGACAGCATTAGAGCAATTCCCTGAGTGTGTGGAGCATTTTCCTCTTCGTGACCGGAGTACAGCAGCATCTCTCCCGTATCTAGCCTTTGCTGTGCAGCTTGAGTTCAATGGGTTTCGCTAATTCCAAGTACTGCCAATTTGTATCTCCTTATTTCCGTTGTTATTTGACTGGTCCTCACGACCTCTCAAATTGTCCGGACGTTCCATGTACCTATGAAAATTGTTGCTCTGGTTGTTAGAAGGGGCATCGGCCTCGTGACTTCAGAAGAATCTCGGCTTTCATCCTGAGGCGCCATAATTATTCCTTCAACCCCCAGGGTAGAGTTTGAATGGTTTGATTTGTTTAATCTGGTTGTTTTTTAGCAAGATTTTTTTCTGCCCTCCTCCTTTACTTGAGCTTGGGACCAGCAGTAACTCTAGAAGTGCTACAGTCGAAGTTGTATATATATATAAAGTTGGTGCTTTCCAAAAATAAACTTTCTAAAACCTAAACAAGAGGGTCTATACTAACCGACCGTAGTCTAAAGTTCCCAAGAAAATCCATATTCGGCACAACCTATGCAACCCGTACGAAGATATAGCCAATATTTAGCAGAAACTAGGAAATTGAATTATTCTCTGGCAAACAAGATCTAAACTCTTTCTTGATAAAGTAGCGACTTGGTATATTACTTGAAATGTTTTTTTGACAATGAAGTATCCAGTTATTTTAAACTTGTCCATAGACTTGGATGGATGCCCTATGTTCTGGAAAGGTTGGCAGTAGAAATTCCTTGACCTTTTGAGCAATGTCATGGAGTTTTGAGTGAGTTTTTGTGTATACTAATTACAAATTCCTTCGGACTCTGAAATGACCATGCACAATGATGATGCGCACCAGATTCATTTTTCAGTCTGAAGAACTTACTTCACTTGATAAAGTGATAGATCCTAACACAATGTACTCCTAGAAGAAGTAATAGGCAGACCAAATATTTTAGAGACAGCTCACCCACACTATTTAGAAACACAGGAAGTAATTTTACGAGTACGAGGTCAAATTATTAACCATCAGCGAACATCTTACTTGACTTTCAAAAAGACTTTTGTAAGATTTACAAGCCATAAACACTCACACGAACTTTTGTCCATACAACAGAAACGTAATAACTTAGACATTTAAATATAGTTAAACATGGTACACCCAGATATTAGGTAAGTGTTCTACTGACTAGAGAGCTGAGCATTAGTCACATTAGCGATGAAAAATACTATGATAAAATCTTTCTAATAGAATTAGTGAATATCACTAACTATAGATATTTTCATGGAATGAACATATGAACGTAAAACAGACGTACTCATTTTTTCATCTACTTTAAAACATCGGACTGCGTAACGATTCGATAAAGGCAGAGGTTTGATGTAAACTCCTTGGTTACCCTGAAATGTTTAAGAAAATTTAGGAGTAATTCTTAATTTAATTGCGACAAAAAATAAATAAAAGAGCAGTATAATCTGGAATGAATAGACCTATTATTTGTGTTGATATAAAACAAATAGATTAAAATGAAATTTACTTGCAAACACTGTAGTAGATCGCTAACAACAGCGTATTCCTGGACAGCATTTGAAAGAGATTCGATGGGGAGTTGCTGGAAAGTCTTAAGGGAAAAGCAAACGAGTAAAATGTACAAGTTAATGAATAGTGATTTCTGCATATACAAATCAAAAATCTCAAATAAGTAAGTGAATCCAGACCTTGAGTACATACCCTATCAGATAAATGCGTCACACAACTACAGGAAGTTTATACTATCAACATTATTCGCGAAATTATATACTTTAAACGAACTACACCAAGCACTACAACTTATAAGGAAGGAAATCAATATCGATTTAAGGTGAGTGGAAGGTCAACTTTCAACACATTACTTTATGAACTTTAATGTAGTTTTACTGTGTTAAGTAACAATTACTCAGTTTATAAATACTGATCATTGTAATCAATGTATAACGGAATAACATGTATTTTTAATTGTATTAGGGTTATCATCAATAAAGCTTCAGTTAAGAATTCAGACTTTTTACCTCAGACAAAGGGGGATGGAGAAAAACGATGGAAGTAGTCTCGTTCATTATTGAAGTCAGAGTTACGAAATCTTACCTTAGTGCACGAACATATCACAAACAACCCGAAATTAGCTATGTAACTGATAATACATCAATGAAGTTAACCTTCACTCAACTGTCATACATTCTTTATTAATGAACTTTTCAGCCGAAATCTAATGCCCACAACAACCGAAAATCGCCAGGGAGGGTTTTTAAACATAACTTTATTTAACTGGATCCAGTCGGTTACATTAAAGGCCTTGTACGAAACATTAGTTCAATCTCTTATGGATTCAAAAAAGCAATATGAAGGAACAAATAGTGAAAAAGAACGTTATAATAAAATTAACTATTTAGACACCACGAATGACGAATGGAATTTAGCAAATAAGGGCGGTTTTCAGTCGTTCATATCAACAAAAACAGAACCAATTTCGTTAGTTTGTAACAGATTGTACCTGAAGTAGATTAGATATGAACACGTAGCACAAAAAGATGTGTACAAATATTGAAGTATGTATACAGAAGCTAAATGATCCTTAAATAATGGGCAGTAAATTTTACAGTACTTTTAAACCATCGATTTATAGAAATGTCAAGTTGGATAGTCAGCTAATCATTCTTGTTAAATTAATAGCTAAACTTTGAATTAGTTACGACTGTTCAAATAATCTGATCATCATCGAGCCAGAATACAATAAGAAGCAATATTTAGGACGTCCAAGTAATAAGGTAACAACATGTCACTTTATTTCGTCTTCATTTATTCACGGTTGCAAATCGCTGACGTATACAAGTAAAAGCATTCTGTGAGCCGACTGCCTGAAAATCCAATGATTTTTGAAAGATTGATTAAAACAAGATACAGGCATGGTGACACATCTGGCCATCAATTACCAATACTAAAAAATATAGTGCATTTGCTTTAAGACTAAACTAAATTTGACGACTCCGACTTTTAGGGGGAGCACTAAATAAATTTCATCATAAACACGAGAATTAACACATGGAAAACCTTTAACACACTAAGACTCACTTCTGAATTAAGTGAAATCGACAGGAAGTCATCCCAAAGCGTCCCGCGTGAGTATATCCACTCTGGTTGCAGAGGAAATGTTGGAGGTTGGACTGTGTTGCTAGTAACCAACTTTTTAGATGTATTCTTGGAAGCCTGAACAAATGAACTGGAATGTGCGCCAAGACCACATGCTGAAAACAAAGATAATTCATCTGACGCACCAAACATGGGTCTCAGACTATCATTCCTGACTGGTTGCATTGAACTTGATCCTTGTGTACATGACTCGTCATTCACATGTTGAAGATGTGTTATATCCTGAAAGACATTCATCATACTTGAAAAACACGTTTTAACGTGTACAAAAAAACACATCGTACAAAAAATACGAGTGGTGAGAGGATCTAAATAACTTTGGAAAGTAGCATAGTTAATAAATTCTTGACATTGTACGGTTTTCATCCAACTAAAACTGGACTACTGCTAGTAACTCACGAGTATCTTCTACTCTTAATCGACACGTATAGCGGCCGTAAAGTAGAACAGAACGAACTGCCGCGTAGCATACTCGTACTTCCATTGATAGAAGAATATCTCGCCTTCACCATATGTAACGTAAGTTCGCAAAAGCCAAACGAGCTTTCTGAATCCGTGCTGAGATTTCGTCAGACACCAACCCATTAGAACCAACCAGACTTCCAAGAAAAGTGAAGTTGTCGACGCGTTCGACTACTTCACTCCCTGTCATCAGTCCAGGTGTTGATGCACGTCAGTGCTGAGTCTGACGAATAGTGAATATGGTCGATACAACCACGACCAGTCCTGAAACCAGCCTGATTTTCTCGTGTTTGCAACTCACAAGTAATTGCTAAGCGCCCGATAATTATTGAGGCTAGTATTTTAAATGCTATATTAGTTAAACTAGTCTCTCTATAGTTATCACAGGATGATTTTAACCCTCTCTTATATATTGGGACAATCAGTGATTGTGACCAGTCAGATGAGATTACGTCTAACTCCCATACTTTAGCTAAACTATTAGTCAACCTAATCGCTACAATCGGACCAGTATTCTTAAAGACCTCTGGAGCCAATGCATCTGAACCAGACGCTCTTTCTCGTTCAGATTGGCTATAGCTTTTGAACTTCAACTAGAGTCGAGAGACCTAGTCCAGTGTTCTATTCAGGCTGTTTGGGAATGGTGAACAGTTGTAGAGTAGCTGAAGGTCAGCTGAACTGCTCCTTAGTGTTCCGCCCATCGTTCTAAACGTCTGAGCTGAGAGCAGATAAGTGTCGTCTTTTTCTGAAATCGTCTCACTTACAAATGACTTCTTAATTCCAGTTTCTTTTATTAGTCTGAAAAGCTGTTTTGGGTTACCTACAGCCGATGCCCTTTCTATTTCTTCTGCTTTCGTTGCCCGGTCACTGCTCACGATCGTTCTGTAGACTTTTGGTTAACCTAGATCTGATTTGATTTTGCTCGTCATCATGTTCGGAGCATGATGGGAAAAGTTTACGTGAGTCTATCAGTGTGACAGATGTCGCATAAATCATATGGATTTTCGTCACCACTTGGTTAAATCAACAATAGACGTCGCTGCTGTTTCCACAACTAATCCGATATATTCGCAAGCAACATCTGGGTCAGCTTCGCTTTTCGAAATGCGTAAGTAGTTCACGGAATTGATCTTTGGTTTTCTCATTGTTAACTTCGACTGTAGCACTTCTAGAGTTACTGCTGGTCCCAAGCTCAAGTAACGGAGGAGGGCAGAAAAAAATCTTGCTAAAAAACAACCAGATTAAACAAATCAAACCATTCAAACTCTACCCTGGGGGTTGAAGGAATAATTATGGCGCCTCAGGATGAAAGCCGAGATTCTTCTGAAGTCACGAGGCCGATGCCCCTTCTAACAACCAGAGCAACAATTTTCATAGGTACATGGAACGTCCGGACAATTTGAGAGGTCGTGAGGACCAGTCAAACAACAACGGAAATAAGGAGATACAAATTGGCAGTACTTGGAATTAGCGAAACCCATTGAACTCAAGCTGCACAGCAAAGGCTAGATACGGGAGAGATGCTGCTGTACTCCGGTCACGAAGAGGAAAATGCTCCACACACTCAGGGAATTGCTCTAATGCTGTCCAAAGAAGCACGAAATGCACTTGTAGGATGGGAATCTCACGGATCCAGAATCATCAAAGCATCATGCAAAACAAAGAATGAGGGGATCACAATGAATGTTATCCGATCTTATGCACCCACCAATGATAGCAACGACGACAATAAAGATCAGTTCTATGAGAGGCTGCAATCAATCACAGCGAAGTATTCAGGAAATAAACTGACCATCCTGATGGGAGTGCTTGTTTAGCCATCTTGATGTTATGCCTACACTCGTCAGTCCACGAGAACTTGCCATCAGGTCACCAGATACACAGAGGGTATATTTCGTTAGCTCTCCGTTTTTGCGAGGTGAAGGCAAATGAATGACAACACTAGGATCTTGGATGCGTGTCTCAGAGACACAGTATGCATCAATCGTACAAGATTCTAGTGTCTTAGCTAAGGAGTTCTGCTGACCGATTTGGCATACGGTACGGACGTCGAAAGCTGCAATGTGTAGTTTGCAGCAAGCTTTCAGTAGACTTGAGACAGGATTTCGCGCACTAGAATCGTTCACCATGATGACAGTTAAGGAGGAAGTGTGGGGTTGGAAGTTAAGGTAGGAAGATTAAAGGGAATTGAAGAGGGAAATTGATTATGAATACAGTGGTCTCGAGTGCTGTTAGAGGTATGAGGGCGGTTATCACTTCCCGGCTGCCAACACCGTGGAAGGGTTCTTCTGGAGGTACCGGAAGAGGAAATCGGATTAGAGGTGGTCTTAGTGACCTGGGAGCGTGACCGCAGTGCCCAAGGGACAACTGCTTGAGGTCGGTCACACACGACCTTTTTATGGGTAATTTTTGTGTTAGCTCCGTACTTGTTGAGACCTTACGGCTGGAGACGGATATCCGTGGGATAAAGCGAGGTGTGCATTTTTAGGGTCGACCTTTCATAACCCCACATTTCTTTGTAGGAAGAAAGCATCGCTGTCATGTTGGTTCTGAGGCAAACACCTTATTTCCATCACAGTACTGTGAAATCACCATTACAACTTCGCCTTCGGACCTTGGGTTTGCCGCTTTTAGTCTTACGGCTCTTCAACCAATCTGCCTGGTATGGTAGAACCTTAAAGAACGATTGTTCCAGCCAGTATAGCCCGAACGGCTCATCACGAGAGGCAAGCCCGACTACTACAACAAGGTAGCAGCAACGGTCAGGACCTTTACACTTGGCTACAGCTCCTTTCAACGCACTCGTGTTCGATTAACTGGGAGGAATCTCAGGCGGGGGTGACGTAGTAGTTCCATTCAACGGTCATTCCCAAACTAAAGTTCATTCGTTACAAGTAGGTCATATAACTAAGCGACAATACAGAAAATAAACGGATACCTGTCATTATCATAGTCTACTGTATGACAAAAAAACATTTTGGGGAAGTGTAACAATAACTGATGTAAGGAAGACCAATAAAACGCACAAACCTTACTAAAGGGTAAATTAAAGACGGTCAAAAGATTACGAGTCGACATCAACAGAAGGATACCTGGGATGACATAAAACTACAACCCAAAATAGATTTTCAGTAGCACACAAGTAATTGATAATTCTAGTTAAGCGCTTCACGTTTTTCCATTAAAAAAAACTTAAAATATAAAGCACAATGTCATTAGTGAGAAAGAATTGAACAAAATAATTTGTAGGATGTGAGCTTACCTTCCCAAAAACGGGAATAGTAGAGACTTTGCTTTGGCCATCAAGAGGCTTAGTAGACAAAGGAAGATACTCCAAACTTCTGAGTATAGCGTCGTCCGACTTCAGCTTTGATAAGAGATAAACAACAGCGGAAAGTTCCCTAATGCTAAAATTCCCAGTAATTTTAAGAACCGTGCTAACTTTCTAGGTTTCAACTCTTCATACCGCCGTAAAAATGCATCGTATTGTGGGTTATCGCTGCAAAGTCTGGTAACTAAATCATGAATATTGTACTGCTTTATTAAACTTGGCAGTTTTTTTTACCTGAGTGTCAGACGAACTATCAATGCTCTTTTCTAGACTGTCTGCAAACGCGTACACATTTGGATCATACATCAAATCAACACTGTTGGGAGTGAGTAGCATATAGGAGTGACAAACCCAAACATTTTGGACAAAGCGTGAACATGATGCCTAATGGAATTTTTAGTAATTTCAGGACCCGCCATAACGACAGTTTCGACTTGGCGCAAAGTCCCGAATTCAAAGTTTCAGAACGCAGCAACAGGTTCAGAAGATACTACGTGATATGGATGAAATTAAACTATGAAAATGATTTATAAAAGGCTTTCCGTTAGGCAAAGTTCAAGATAAACAGTATTCACAATATCAGTGTTGTAGGGTCAGTGAAATGTCACTGAGCCCTAGCCAAATCATACGGCAGTTGGATCACTGAATGTCGAACAGATCATCGCTCCCTGCCAAGGTCATGTACAACCAACGCACATTAGTTAATCGTATGCGATGGACTGACCCATGTGGCGGTGGTCTTACTTTCGCTTGTATCTACTTTAACTAATATATTTCTGTAATAACCTCCTCTGTGTTGTACAGTCTTCAAAGCATCTATGGTACCTTGATACGTCAATGGGGGTAGTCCACGTAAGGTGCTGACCACGAGGTGTGACTTCGACGTTAGTTGGTTCGTCACACCATTCACGTCTAACTCGAGTAGGTCTCCAATCATTTCGACATAGATCATCTACGCGTGTGATCTACAGTGTGTAATCTGCTACTAAAACTTTCCCGACAGATTCTTTGAAAGCACGTATCACCAAGTTAGTTAGACTCTGTGAGTGTTTAATCGTTTGCATGTGCCTCAGTAGGATCATAAGATTAGTAAACCAAGTTTTTGCCCTTTGGCTCTGCATGTAGCTCTTCTAGAGTTACTGCCGGTCCCAAGCTCAGGTAAAGGAGGTGGGTTGAGCATGTGGTTGGCAACCGCATCTCGTAAAAAAATCTTGCCAAAAAACGCCAACCATATCAAATAAACCGTTTAAAATCTACGCTGTGGGTTGGAGGAATGATTATGTTGCCTCAGGATTGAAGCCGAGTGTCTTTTGAAGTCACGAGGCTGATGCCTCTGTAGTATGCTATTTCAACTACGTTATTATTTGTCTACTCACTGTAATTAAGACACTAAGTCCACTGCGTTAAAATACGTGTGAGTCTGATTGAGCGTGTGTTTGTACATCAATCTTTAATCTACTCCCTCGCTGGCTGTAGGCGAAGACAATCAATAATTTACCCACAATCGATTAACACTCATAGATATATATGGATTTTTAGCTCTCACCCACACGTTTTCCCTCTGTGCTTGCTTCCTGCACTCTAGCGGATTTTACTTATCTTTAACAACAAACTCTCTCTATAACTGGTGTCCGGGCTATTTGTGGAGATATGCCTAATAAGCTTATTTTGTAAATAGTTTTTGATGTTATTTGTATTTATTCTGTCAATTTTTTACTGCATGTACATTTACCATTAAATGATTGTACGTGTTGTTTAAGTGTATGACCTTGGACACACTTTCTTCATACTGTATATTTCGATCCTAAGCTTATTATTATTACTATTGTTAACACTTCGTATGATGTAAATTGATAATTTACCAAGCCTTTCATCTAAGTCTATCTCCGAGTATGCCACCTCTGTACCTTTACCTGTCTTTAACCCTCAAGAGACTGAAATCTGGTTTGCACTCTTAGAAAACATTTTTGTTGCAAACAGAATCCAAAGTCAGAGCACGAAATTTGGTTACTCAGACCCATTGCTGCCGGACGGCGTTATTGAACAAGTACCTAGCATCACTTTTAAGCTGGATCCAGATTCACCGTACGATTGCCTAAAAAGAGAAGATATTCGTGTTACACCTCTCACCGACCTGCAGACAAGTGATCATCTTTAAGCCGATGTAGAGTTAGGTGACAGCACACCTTATAAACTAAAACCCCACATGACAAATGTATTATGGGATTGTATAGTAGATTAACGTCTATTATAGTGATCATGGCTCAGACGTCGCCCGCAAAACGTCCAACAGATACTAGCAACTAGAGACGAAGATGTCAATTTTGATAGGCCAGCTGATATAGCCGATAGAACCTCGAGTGAACTAGGACTCACTCGGTATTACACATGCAAAGAAACTCAACTGACAAGATCACAGAGTTATGGCGAACAGTCAACGTCCTCATTAAACAGATAGCCTGGCTCTAATTTTCGAATACCCACCACTGCAATTGTAGAGGAAGGCTCAGAAGCCGTAGACGTCGTAGTCCAAGCACCACTGGACATAAAATTTGTTGGTACCATAGAAAGTACAGTAAACAAGCCAAGAAGTGTACTCCTCCCTGTAAATTTGCAAGCACACGGTAAAGGGAACGCCAGGGCCGGCCGAAACGCTCAAGACAGTCGTTTGTTATACGTCGCAGGCGAAAATACTGGAACAAAGTTCCTGGTCGACATTGAGGCAGAGGTTAGTGTAGCACCAGCGCTTACGATTGAGAAAAACACAACTGACCTCAGACTAAAACTGCAAAGCCGCGAATAGATCTGAGATCAAGGCATACAGTAAAATGCAACCAAAGTTACATTTCGGTCCCAAATCCAACTTTCTATGGAGCCTCATCGTAGCCGACGTCCTTATTCCCATAACCAGCGTTGATTTTCTGCAACCCAATAAAATACTTGTTGATGATAGAAACCGGAAATTTGTATATATCGTCCATAGCAGAGAAACTAAAAAAATCATATCTATCGAGACTTCCATACATTTATTAATAAAACCTCATTATGAGGATGATAAATACACCCATTTACTTAATCAGTTTCCAGATTTATTACGATGGAGTTTCAAACATGACAAACTGACATACACACCACATTAAAACAGAGGTATCACAGGAGTTCGCACGTCAAAGACGCATTGACCTCGCGTCTCGCTCTCACAAAGAACAAATTCAATAAGATGATATAGTTGCGTGTCATACGCTCCTCTAACAAACCGTGCGCATCAACACACTATATGAGATATGCAACGTTCGAATAATGTGAGAGGTCGTGAGGACCAGTCAAACAACAACGGAAATAAGGAGATACAAATTGGCAGTACTTGGAATTAGCGAAACCCATTGAACTCAAGCTGCACAGCAAAGGCTAGATACGGGAGAGATGCTGCTGTACTCCGGTCACGAAGAGGAAAATGCTCCACACACTCAGGGAATTGCTCTAATGCTGTCCAAAGAAGCACGAAATGCACTTGTAGGATGGGAATCTCACGGATCCAGAATCATCAAAGCATCATGCAAAACAAAGAATGAGGGGATCACAATGAATGTTATCCGATCTTATGCACCCACCAATGATAGCAACGACGACAATAAAGATCAGTTCTATGAGAGGCTGCAATCAATCACAGCGAAGTATTCAGGAAATAAACTGACCATCCTGATAGGAGAAAGAAACGCCAAAGTCGGGATGGACAACACCAGATATGAAGATATCATGAGACGACCTGAACTGGGAGAGAGAAACTAGAATGGTGACAGATTTGCAAATTTACGTGCATTCAACAAATTATATCATTACCATGGTTGGAATTGGTTGTTTAAAAGAAACTGAGTATTGGTTAGAAAATTAATACTAACAATATTTTTTATCCTATTGTGTAGAAAAATTGTTTTTCTGTCGTTTCGTGACTGAATCTAGTCCATTTCATTGGAATATATATTTGTGGTGTCACTATGAACAAATGATTCCTTTGTACTTGATGATTGTCTGACTTCGAATTCCAAATAGAATGAGTTCGTTCGTACTCACATAAATCTTCTTTGTTAAACTGCGTTATTCCTGTGAACTTAGTTTGTACTATAGTTTAAATACTTCCATTCATGGGCGCCGCGATGGAGCCTGTGGTGGAACAGTTGTGCGTTCACATATATTCTGAAGCTTATCTGGAAAGGTTCGAAATCTAGAAAGATGTGAAATGTTTTCCTTGCATTCATCGGAAAACAAGTCTACAGTTTATTGAAAACTTCGGCATATCCAGAAGACCTCATCTCACTTCCTTACGCAACTCTTAAGGAACTACTTCAAAATCATGTAAAGTGCACCCGTTTAAAATGTCGTGGAGAAGGAAATTTCATAAGATTATTCGTCGGAATAAACAAAAGGTATGGGAATTCAGTCTTGAATTGTAAAGACAATCTGCCAAGTGCAAGTTAGATAATCAAATTCGTGTGCAGCTGAGGGATCGATTATTTGCAGGAATTAACATACTAAATCTAGAAAGACAGTTGTTCAGAATGCCAAACTGCGCGTGTCAACTCCAAAGCAATGAATGAACTTGATCTTCAGTCGAACACTTCTAAACCTTTGTTCAATCGTCATAATGAGATACGATCTCAGGGTCCATCAGGCTTGCGTTTGTTTAATAGTGATTCATGTTTTTGTAAAAATCTGAAATGCGATTCAACGAAGTGAAAGTTTGGTAAATGCTTATCCTGTGGCAAATTTCGTTCTCGCGATTCATGTGCATTACGAACTGCTAAATGTTTCAAATATGGAAAGAACACATTCAGTCAGTAATTTAATGTTGTTGTTATTAACGGCTTTATTCAGTATTATATTTCTGTACAATATAGAATTATCGGTACAAGGTGATTCAACAAGTTCCTTTTACAAAAAAAGACAGAAACGAAAAGGAAACAGAGTTAAAAAATCCGAAAAACTGTACAACTTTCCATATTAAAGATTTGTTGACTAGACTAACTCTAACAACCTGTTCGTCACAGAGTACATTGGCTAGGTAAGGTATTATAGAACTTTTACACTTCTGCTTGTGTGCCTGGATTTTAATGTAATTACGTCTCGTTCTACCAGAAGATATACAAGGAGAAAGATATGGGTGAAAGGGTTGGTTAGTATCTGTAAGCGAACTGATACGGATCAATATGCTCCTTTATCTCAGGCTGAAGTGAAAGTATCAATAATTTCTCTATTGTTTTGAGAAAGGATGCAGTTGTTGCAATAATTCTAAATTTTACATTTATATCACCAGATACTTTCTTGGGTACAGGGATTATCTTTATCTTTCTCCACATTTTCGGTATGAGATTAGATGTTAAGGACCCGTTAAAGTTAGTCGTGAATGGATAACATAGATTGT